CGCTCAGATAGGGAGAAGGCAACAACATGTAAGATGATTTTCCTGTAAATAGATACTGTCTTTTCAGGTATTTTGTTACTTTCAAAGCATTAATTTAGTATTTCGGGCGAATGAACAAGATTGTCCTAACACAGCTTTAAAGTGTTTTTAACTTTTTATGCATGTGATTCTGGCTTGTAATACATTGTTGCATACATCAAAAAACAAAAACGTCATGGGTAATTTGCAGCTAACAGTAAATACTTGCTGTTAGTATACTCAGTCAGAAGTCCTTATCTTCACATATATCATATGAGCCCGTAATCGGTCAGAAAGTCTAGTAGCTTTGCTATTCAGTTTCCTGAATTCTTCTATTTTAATGAGACGCTAAGTAATAACTTTACTTCCAAAATTCCTCTTATTTTTATTAAAGAACTGTACTCCTGCCTCTTCTTTTCTGATGGAAAAATTTTCCATATTACTTTTTCTGCACTATTAGAGATCTATGTCTTCAGGCAGTACCTCTCCTCATACAGTAGAAATCTATTTCATTTATGTTTTATTGCAGTACTGGTTTGATGTAGCTAAGGGGTTTTTTAGCAGTTCATTGTCCACTTTGAAAAGAACTCTTACCTAAAATGTAGTTCTTTTCACTTATTTGTGAAAGCTGTATTATTTTGGGTCATGGGATCATGACAGGTCTTTTTTCTAGTTTACTGAAATGTGTATACTTGCCTGTCTTCTCTAATATGTATGTTTATTCAGTCTGCCTGTCCGATAAATATGTGCATAAGGTGACAGACAGATTCCAATAAATGGCCACAGATTGTGATAGTCTCCTGTAAGCTTTCATTTTTTTTTTAATTTTATTTCAGCATTTTTAATTGAAACCAGAACATAACACTGACTTACCTTTAGGTAGTCTGCTGTTACTGCTACAGACTTTCAGCTCTGTGTTAGACTAGAAAGAGGGAGGCAAAATTTCAAGAAAGTAATAGCGGTCAAGCAAAAGCCCTCTATATATAGTGTAGGGTGGCTTATGTAATTTTTCGTCTGTGCTTCTAGATTCGTATGCAAGGTTTTTAGTGCCACCATAGCTTTTTGGTGCAACTAGATTATGGGGTATTTTTTAGCTGATAATAGGTGCTTATAGCAGTTGCCTCTAATTTTGTTCAGGAAGATAGCAGTCTGCTATTTATAAATCAGTTGGTTGTGTTGCCTAGCCACACTGCTTCACGGCTGCCCCACAATTGCCAGTCTAATACCGAAGGCACTTTAGGGCAGCAAATGGACTTTACTGTTTGTCTTGTACAACTTTCAGAATATTGTCATTTCTGTACCTGTGGAAGAAGGTCCTCACTTGCAGACCCTCTGGGAAGGGTCTGTTCCTGACTGATTGCATTTCATTGCCACTGAATAACTCTGTGTATTTGCACTATCTTTAGTGGTAATGGTTTGATGGCATTTTGTTGAGAGCGATCAGTAGAGTGTTAGCAAGTACACTATTTCAGCAAAGAGGATAGCTAAAAATACATGAATGGGTTGGCTTCAGGACTGACTTGGGCCATTACCAGATATCCTCATATGACTGTATTTGTGATTGTAACCATAGCTACTTTCGTTAATCTTATTTACCTTTTTAAGTTGAAGGAAAAAAGGAATTTGAGTTTAGTTAATGGTTTCAGTCATTGCTATGTCAGAAAGAGGTTTTTAGGGTGCTGGCTGCAGACGTGTTATTGAGAAAGTATTATCATGTACAGGTTTGTGTTTTGATTAATGAGTAACTTTGTTGGGGGTTAAGCTTGATACCTTTGGCCGTTGAACTGGCATAATCTCTAACAAGGCCGTAAATGTAGTTCAGATTTGTTGACACAAGTCCTTTTATTCAAAGACTTTGTCAAACAATATCTGATTGATGTTTTTTCTCCCCCAGCTTTTTCTTCACAAGTACCATCCTTGTAATTCTAATTGTCTGGGCTAGAAATAATACATTGTTGTTTGTGTGATATCCATAGCAGGAAGTTATGAGGGGGATTCAGGCCTTCTTTCTCTTTTGGGCCATCGCAAAGTTTAAAAGTATCTCTGAAGAACTGTTCTGTCAACAAATTAAAAGGTCTTTTCTTAATCACTCTATTTTTCTCCATTTACTCTAAACACATTCCTAGAAAGAGTAGAGAGATTAGGAATATAGTTATTTACCACCTTATGGCCTTGTGGAAGCCGAAGCAAATAGAGCTTCCAGCGCCACTCATCACCTGAGTAAGTATACTTGTACTTTTCATTACCAGGGGATTATCTATGGAGAAATTACAGCTTCTCATGCTTTCTAATAACAAGGAAAAGGCAATTTTTCTTCTGACTTCCCTGCCTCAAAGCAAGGAAAGTTGGAAAAAAAGCAACTGCTTTATTATGACCTCTGAATCCTGAGGCATCTGTGCTTAAGAGTAAAATAGGATATTTTTATAGATTAACTAACACCTGAAACCACATGTTCAACTGTTATTCAGAACTGACCTACAGAATTGGGTCCAGCTTGTTCAGAATGAATTGATATCAAAGAAATAAAATCAAAGGGAAAGAAGGTCCCTAGTTAACCTCCCTTTCCAAATTTTGAGTTGTGAGAGAGCCAAGTCCATATGCCATCCCCAGAGCTCAGCTATCTTTGGAACATCATGTTGTATCTGATAAATGCCTCCTCTTTCATTGATGTTGACAAAACAGCCTGTTTGTCAATAACTGGGTGAACTATATACGATCAGTTTGCATAACTGAAAGAGGTCAAAGTCAACCCTGAAACCCTACTGCTATCTGAAACTGTTTTACTTAACTTATAATAACACCAAACAGTGTCTTTGGAATGACTAAGGGGACTTTGTGCCTAACCAACTTCACTGTACCCGCCAGTTGGTTTAATGAATTTCCTCATCTTGCCTGCATGGAAAAATGGTCATAAAAACTAGAGAAGGTAAATATATATATAAAAAAAAATATGCAAAGATTAATACTCTTCACTCACAAGACTCTCCTTGCTGACTATTTCTTTTTGCTCACCACTTCAGAAGAGCTTCGCAGTGGTCAGCTGAATCACACAGGCATACAAGCACAGCTTTCTGCAGCTGTCATCTAGCTCTGCTGTGATGCTGGGCTCCATTGCATATTTTTTTAAGATAGAATTTAACTGCAAGAAATTAATTTAACCTTTGTTTATTTTTTAACCGTTATTAGACTACAAAGATGCTGACTATGTTTTTGCAGTCAGTTCAGACAGGCACAAATCTTTTTCAAGTGATCGAAGATAAACCTCTCCAGTACTGTTATCATCGCTTCTATTGTTAATAATTGCTAGAGCTGACAGGATTCTCTAATTTGGAAAAGTTTCCACTTCCTACCACTTCCCACTCTGCATCACCTAGTTATTGCTGGGCAGGAATTGAACGTATAATAAGATATTTCTGTGGACTGAGAATTTGCTGGAGGAGAGAGTGATGTTTGGAGATGTGAGGCTGGAGGGACAGGCACTGCTCTGTTAGAGCACCTAAGAATAAATGTGGTAGTTAAAGTAAGCCAAGTGTATTCTTATCACTGGATGCCACTTCATTAGAGAAAGAGGAAAGGTGTATCCACACATTACCCCTTATAGCTGGGGAAGGTATGGCACTGTCACAGAGAAACAGGGGAAAGCTGGAACTTCCACCGCAGTATATCACTGGGGCGAGATGGTATTCCTGTGAGAAAGAACAGCATAAAATCACTGAGCTACTCACAAAAATAAATAACAGAACTTCAGAAACAGTGTTAGAGAAGATGCTAGCCAGGATCTCTGAAATGCATACTTTTGGGTCATCTTGATAATTTTTATAGCAGTGAAACTTACCTGAGAACACAGGGAAATAGCTGGTGATATCACTAAAGTTGTAAACCACAGCAAGAAGTGGAACATGGGAACCTGCCTGTCAGCTTCTTAGATAGAAAATGGGTGAGATAGTCGCATTCATAATCTGCTTGGAATGGAGGAAGAAGGACACCACCTATTACATATCTAAACCAAAGAAAATGCTGTCTTTTAATTGTCTTTGCTAAACACATCCCACACCAGTGTAAAGTATAATTCAAAGCCTCATTTAAA